TAACATCATGATTTTTTGCGAAAATCGTGAAAAAATGTATGTCCTTTTTTCCGATGGCAGTCGATTGGCGGGACTCTCTCGATTACAGAAAGACATGCCACTCCCCGATCGGCAAATAAATAGCCAAGATATAGCGTACAGAAGAATCCAGGATTTTAATGATATGCAATCCTAATCTTCAGAAGGCTATATCTCAGATAAATAGGGCCAGATCGATGAGGGACCAACTCTGCCAGGATCGTGACGATCCAAACTGTCGAACGGCATCAAAATCTCGACTACGAAAATGAGGCCGATTTTTGTCAAATTTAATGATGGTTACATCATGATTTTTTGCGAAAATCGTGAAAAAATGTATGTCCTTTTTTCCGATGGCAGTCGATTGGCAGGACTTTCCCCATTACGGAAAGACATGCCCCTCCCCGATCGGCAAATAAATAGCCCAGATATAGCCTCAGAAGAAACCAGGATTTGAATGATATGCAATCCTAATCTTCAGAAGGCTATATCTCAGATAAATAGGCCAGATCGATGAAGGACCAACTCTGCCAGGATCGTGACGATCCAAACTGTCGAACGGCATCAAAATCTCGACTACGAAAATGAGGCCGATTTTTGTCAAATTTAATGATGGTTACATCATGATTTTTTGCGAAAATCTTGAAAAAATGTATGTCCTTTTTTCCGATGGCAGTCGATTGGCAGGACTTTCCCCATTACGGAAAGACATGCCACTCCCCGATCGGCAAATAAATAGCCCAGATATAGCCTCAGAAGAAACCAGGATTTTAATGATATGCAATCCTAATCTTCAGAAGGCTATATCTCAGATAAATAGGCCAGATCGATGAAGGACCAACTCTGCCAGGATCGTGACGATCCAAACTGTCGAACGGCATCAAAATCTCGACTACGAAAATGAGGCCGATTTTTGTCAAATTTAATGATGTAACATCATGATTTTTTGCGAAAATCGTGAAAAAATGTATGTCCTTTTTTCCGATGGCAGTCGATTGGCGGGACTCTCTCGATTACAGAAAGACATGCCACTCCCCGATCGGCAAATAAATAGCCAAGATATAGCGTACAGAAGAATCCAGGATTTTAATGATATGCAATCCTAATCTTCAGAAGGCTATATCTCAGATAAATAGGGCCAGATCGATGAGGGACCAACTCTGCCAGGATCGTGACGATCCAAACTGTCGAACGGCATCAAAATCTCGACTACGAAAATGAGGCCGATTTTTGTCAAATTTAATGATGGTTACATCATGATTTTTTGCGAAAATCGTGAAAAAATGTATGTCCTTTTTTCCGATGGCAGTCGATTGGCGGGACTCTTCCCATTACGGAAAGACATGCCACTCCCCGATCGGCCCATATATAGCCCAGATATAGCGTACAGAAGAATCCAGGATTTGAATGATATGCAATCCTAATCTTCAGAAGGCTATATCTCAGATAAATAGGGCCAGATCGATGAGGGACCAACTCTGCCAGGATCGTGACGATCCAAACTGTCGAACGGCATCAAAATCTCGACTACGAAAATGAGGCCGATTTTTGTCAAATTTAATGATGTAACCATCATGATTTTTTGCGAAAATCGTGAAAAAATGTATGTCCTTTTTTCCGATGGCAGTCGACTGGCAGGACTCTCCCGATGACGAAGAGATATGCCCAAATAGGCAGATAAATAGTTTAGATATGGCCAAAGAAATGTCCAAACATATTTAATCGGACGTTTTATGGGCAAAAACGTGAAATTTCAGGGCGTTTAAGGGCACCCTGTGATCGAAAAAATGTGCCTTATTTAATTGAATCCTTATCAAGGATCAAGAGCATTTACTAAGATCAAAAATATTTTGTTTTCTCTGCTATTTGTGAACCGATGTGGGCGTGCCACGCCTTTTTGTAATCGCTATAGTTTCCCCGATAAAGGATACAGCAAGGATGATTTTTGAATAGCTTTATTATTCGAAACTTATCTTAGTATAAATATCAAATATATAAAATTCTCGTATTTATATATAAACCTAACACCAAAGAGATCTACCTGGAGTCTAGTATACCGCGTAGCCCCTCCTTGGTGACCTTGGTCGAAGTCCTTAATGTCGACGGCCAGGTCGAGGAATGATGGCTTGTTCGGTTCGGATCTTGCAATGCGCTTCTGTCCTGCTGGGATAAAGTTCTGGGATGTGGTCTGCTAAAATCAGATACGACTCGACATAAGTCCTCTGTGAAGTCATTTACGCGTCTCGAAGCTGAAGCCCAGCGGTTTATTTGGCGGCGTATGAATGGGCGTCATGACTGGCTCATGATGACTCGACAGTCAGTGATTATACTCATATTTTCTAAAACTGTTAAATTTTTTTTGCGTTCAATCAGATCTGATGCAGACTCGGCAATCTGTTGGGTATAGACTCTATAGTTACGGATATTCTTCAAAATTGTGGGAGCCCCCGATTTTCGTCATTTGTGCGGGCGGAAGAGGGCGTAGTGCACGTGTAATTGTGTGATTTAACAGGAAGTCTAAATAGCTCTAGCCCTTTTAGTCTCTGAGATATAGGCGCTAATCGGGACGGAAAGACATACAAACATAGCTATATAGACTCGGCTATTGATACTGTTAAAGAATATATATACTTAATGGGGTCATAAACGCTTCCTTCTGGATCCACACGTCCAGTTTCACCACTACTCTAACATACCCCTTTACTCACTTCGAGTTTTGGGTAACTAGCATGAGTATCGGATAAAAATATGTATGACTGGAGGCGAAAACTAAGTATTTAAGGCTAGGAATGTTGACTGCGGCATATGCAACAAATTTCCTTGTTTTCCTTTCCTTTAATTTCCATATTTTCTTTCTTTTCTATATCTTGACTGTTTATGGACCGATCGGTGGCGTGGCATGTCATTTTGGGATCGAGAGAGTCCTGCCAATCGGCTGGCATCAGACAAAACAGACGTCCAGAGGACGCCGATCGTTTGGAAGCAGTAAGGATATTGCCTGTTGCCATTTCTCATCCGATCAGGATCTGTGCTGATTTATCAGCCAGATGGCATAGTTCTGTATCCATTTGAACAACGACCTTTAAAGAAGGTCGGGTATTTCCCACACATTACTTTAATTCGAAGTTGCACCGTCGACTGAAAAATTTCAGCATTAACTATTTACAAAAACTTGTAGGAAGTATAAAATACAAAAGTATGCTGACAATAAATATGGTACGTAACATATTATTTAAATTATTTCAGTTTAAACAATTAGTCAAGGAATCATTGAACTTTGACAATAAAGTCTATTTTTCTTTTTCCGCTCACACTTGATTTCAATTTAAAGGCCAGCCCATATGCGGGTGAAAGATGTTGAGTGTTGCACTATCGATAAGCCAAATGAAACGACGATGACGAGAAATAAAAAAAAAGAGAAAAAGAAATGGAAAGAGAAAAGGCGGCCGCCGACATGGAAATTGCATTGCCCGAATGGACAGCGCCAGTTGCTGATGTCCTCTCGAGTGGCTTTAGATGGCGGATGGGAAAATAAACTGGTGCCAAGCGTCGATTTGGTCTGAAAGCCTGCGCGGTGCCTGACCTGAGCTAGCCATTCGTTTGGATTCAATTGCCCTTTTATACCCCATCTGTGTCGGTCGGAGGTGGAGTGCCAGGGTATATCCCAACGGGATTGTGCTCAAAATTACCTTCCTTCTTATAGTAGGTACGGGTAGAGAGAATGAGAACACAAGAGTTTGTTCTGTTCAATTTACAGATTTCATTCTAATAACCGTTAGTTTGTGGCTTTAAGCTGCTGCAATTTGTCAGCTTTTTGTATATGAGAATCTCTTTGCTTCGCCACGTACTCATACCGTGGACATACACACACAGACCAACGACCAGTCGTCACATGGCAATCCGTTAAAACCCCCTGCCACTGCTCGCTCTCGCTCTCGATTGCCGCCTGCTGGTGTTTTTTCGCGGCAGATAGGTTTTTCTATTCCCTTTGTAATGGCCAGAGATGGTTTAAAGAGGTCGTTGTCGGCAGAGTCACGAAAAAAAAAAATATTCGGACTTTAAAACGATAACTTACGGAACTTCAAAAGAAGCGGACTGACTGGGAGATATAAAGACTGGACCCTTAAAACAACACTTTAAAAAATTTAAGCCATTCAGTGAACGAATAGAACATAAAACATTAAAAAGCAATAGCAGAGATACTTAATCTTTTGGAATCACCTCGCTAATACCCCACTATCCGTAACAGACGATCCGCTTGTTAAATTCAATCTTAGCTGATGTTCTGGCAATATAAAACAATTTTCCAAAATGTGTGCATGTGCGTGGAATTAAGAAGCGGGCAGATTGTTTTGAACCGCGCCTGTTTTCAGACTAAATAACGTAAGCGTCTATTGTTGATGGTTCATTGTGATGCGAATGGTAAATGCGGATTGCAATTCAGCTGCTGATGAGACGCATCCATTGCTATGTCTATGTGTATGACTGGTAAATAGGAACGGGCACAGAGAAAATATTTAACGCGTGGTCTGGCAATAAAAGTCAGTGCGCACAATATGCCATCGGAGCCACAGATGCATCCGAATCAGCAGCCGTCGTTTGGAATTCATCTGATTTATGCGGCTGTCAGCAAAGGCAGCGGATACAGACATATGCGGGTCTTCGGTTGAGCCTAGTTGACGTGGCTGATTGACAAACCGCTGTTTGCCAAAATGAAGAGTTTGACATGCGGTCGGGCGGCCTAGAGGTCTGGTGGTGCGGTGCAACAAATCAAAAATTGCTGTTGTTCGACGGCAGACACTGACAAAGGTGAGGCAGTCAATATTGCCACTTGGTTTGATTGCATTTGTGGTGATGTATCTAGGAGGTGCAGATATTCCAGTTATTGAACTCTCTGCTAACCATGCAACACGGCTATTATGAATTGTACTTAGGTAAACCCTTTACACTACTACAACTTAACAATTACTAGAGATGCATGTACTGCTGGAATCATTTAATCTTTAGTTTTTTAGTCCTTCAGGTATCCGTCTCCACAATACCCTCGTTCTCCCTCTATCGCCTCACGTCTGAGTACTCGAAAGCGATGCCCAGGGGACGCTTTCTTGGCTTGAGTGTGTTTCGCAAATCGACCACACTTAATGTCAATGTCTGTTCGAAGACACCCAGCTTGATGGCCTCCTCGATGCCTTCATCGGTTACCAAGAAACAGCCCAGGACCTTATCGTGGATCATGTCATGAACTCTCACGTGGTAGACATTATCGCACCGCAGCAAAACCGACATCAAAACCTCACTGAAACTGAGGCCGCCAATCAGCTCGATAAGCTCGCGGTGAAAACTGTTCAGAATTGGTAGATTCTTGTCCTTACAGAACACGCAATGACTCGATGAACGATCCTTAAGTTTCGAGTTTTTCTGATTTGACATTTTCTTTAGCTCAGCTGGCCTCTTTGCATCCATTTGCTTGTCCTGAAACTCCCGATTGAGCGATTTGACATTGGCGATGAGGGAATCCATATGATTGCGTATATCGAATATCTTCATGATTTTCAATCTATCCAATTTCTTGTTCAGCTCGAACAACTGCTTGGATATGGCAGATATTAACCCAAATTCGGAAGGATGCCTCTCGGGATCCGCCTGTGTGGGATATGAGCACGAGGGCTGTAAAAACTGGGAATCGAGACGGGACTTGTCTTGGCTTTTCCCCTTGATATCGATTCGTTTAAACCACTTATGTTTGGTCTTTGATGGGGAATAGCTGCGAGGATCAATTACTGTATTCTTCGGCTCGGGTAGCTGCTTCGATATTGCAGATATTAACCCAAGATCAAAGGAATAACTCTCGTGATCTGCCCGTATGGGATATGAGCAGGAAGAATCCTGAAGGTTCTCCGTCTGTAAATACGGTTGCACAAATTGGGAATCGAAAGGGGCTTTTTCTGGTTTTTTCCCCTTAATATCGATTCTTTTATACCACTTCGGTTTGGCCTTTAATGCGGAATGGACGGGACGATCAATTACTGTACTCTTCGGCTTGGGGCCATTCTTCAAGTGTGGCCCTGGACCTCCTTTCCCCGAGGCCACTACTATAATAGGTCTTTTGGGCAAATGGCAACGGGTAAATGATTTTTCTTTCTGACTAAAAGTGTGGGTTTTAGATGGTAGAGTGAACGTACAGTGCGAACAGTTCGAGGATTCAGATATCGACTCTAGTAGTGGCACTGCTCTCCATTGAGTCACTGAATCCGGATGTGGCTCTTCGAAAAATTTAAGAACGGGCTTTGCTGCAGAATTCGGTTCAAAATGGCCACAGTTTTTTTCTGGTTCCAGATAAAAACTTGGCTGATGCTGGGGCTTGGCAGGTACATCGGTCTTGTATGGCGGTATGACTGTGTCCTGCGTTGTATTTGAGCTCGGATTACTATTGCTGGATGCGCCACCGAATATACGTGGAGGGTTGACTTTATGTGTTTCTTTTTCCGTAACTGCTGAAGACGATAAATCCTCTACGCGCTTCAATACTGCATTGTATCGATTATAGATTGCTTCAGAAACTGTAAACAAGCGTTTTAGAAACTCTTTCAAACTTTTGGCTTTGTATCTAGCTTACCCGAGACAGACCCTGAACGATATCTGTATTGTTTATCAATGTCTCTGTTGCAGGTATTTACCTTCCTCTCGTCATGGCCACCGTGTTCAGCCACCTTAAATCCTTTGGAATTGTCACGTTTTGTTGCACAGCGGTCACTGAATGAAGAAAAAGGGATAGTTGCGATTATAACGCCTAAGACGTATGACAGTCACACCTTTCATGAAGCTTCAGCCAATCTGAATGGTATTTACTATGCTTATTGACTTTATTTTCGTTAGGAACGCTTAAACAATGAATTCCGATTGATTTTTTACAAGGATTGTCGACGATTAGCATTGTTTGCAAATTTGGGAAAATACCAACAATTTTTAACACACAATTTGTCAAATGGATACCTGAAACTATTTAAAACGAAAGAGAAACAGTACACAGAAACAATTTGAAATGTAGAAACAGGCAGATCCGATGATAGTTTAAGTGGCTAGAAATTAAGTCTTCTAAATAAAAGGCTATTCAAAGTGAACATACATACATAGTATATATATGTAAATAAGCATCCAATAAAACCCATCGATCCAGCTAACACACTCTTTCAATATTTATACTCACCTCATTGCCCACCTTACCTTTGCAATGCAGAATATTTTATATTATTGCCGCAATATGCACATGAACTACGTTTATGCTTGGTATCCATAATAACTTTTATTTCGGCTCACACACAATTGTCAAAAGAAAACCACAAAATATTTAATCTTTGGCTAGGTTACATTCGTCTTACACTCCTCTTGAAGTGTTGTATCTCATAAAGGTTGAACTTTTTTACCCAAATTGTAGTTTGTAATATATATTCGTGTATGGTATACGGTCATTTGGCATCCCCTTTTATTGTGAGATACGTATTTCTTTATATAAATTTATGTTTTCTTTGAAATGGTCATGTATAAATGTTGGCCTTGGCTTCGGAACATTAAAAAAGAGAGGAGGGTATATGTAATACGAAAATTCAAATGCTTTTTAAGCTCTTTTATGCTCTTATTTATTGTTTGATGCGCTCACACGTTTCTTTTGTAAGAGATTTTGTGGTGATAGTTTACTTTTTATGATCTTTAGAGGAAGATTTTAAACGATTTATCTTCTTTATATAGTTAATGAGTGTTCTTAAGTTGAAATGTTTATCGGAATTTTTGTATCAGTTTCTCTTAAATACATATGTAGAATATATTATGTTTTTTTGGCAACTTTTGAAATAGATCTTTGCGGTTTGGCAACTTTATTGATTAAATCTTTATGATTTGGCAACAAAACATCTTGTGGGCGCCAGGGCCTAAGCTCAACAACGAATAATTTTAGTTTTGGATAATTATTCAGCTAAGATTTATTTTCTGATTTGCATACCGAAAAAAGTTGAGCAAACGTTATGATAGAGGCTTCAGTTGGTACTTTTTTGGGAAGCTTGAACAGCTTCTGGCCCACTGTATCGCAAATCTTAAGTTGCAGTTTGGTATTCCAGTTAAGCACTATGAGGATTTGTTTAAATATAAATATTCCTATGTGTTTTGCATAAATATTTATCCTTTTCAACTATAGTCATAATCCTTAAGCAAGTTCAAAGCTAATGAGAGAGTCGTTCTAAACTTAACATAACATTGGTTTTTGGGTTGTATCAACAGTGGAATAAACCAAGAACTTAGACCAAGCAAATCAGACAGAAATGTGACCTCACGGACACGCCTTAAAGCTAAACAAAGCACATGGGGGTTAAGGGCTCGCCACGGTTCCGCTAGGTGCATCACCCGTCCAAATTCATACGTCATACATCGGCCATCATCCGTCATCCGTCATCTCTCATCCATTATCCGTCATCCGCCTGCAGATACAGATTCAATATCCCAGCCGTAGTGTCAGACACATCAAAGCCATCAAACCGAAGCACAGAGATGTGGATTGGGGCAGCGGGTGCGCCGAAGACACGCGCGGCTCCAGTGACAGCGTCTTGTACTTCTCTACTTTGGTAAAGTCACTAAAGCCGGCAAGGTTGCGGGAGGCGGCCCTCATCAGGTAATAGGTGTCGGGTTCCAAGTTGGTAATGAGGAAAGTGGCACCTGTCGGGCGGAACGAAGCGTGTGACAGGCATTATGGTGAGGGTCACGAGCTACTCGTATCACTTACCCTCTTCGAAGGGGAAGTCCTTGCGCCTGGCATTGGTCCACTTGCCCGCATCCGACTTGAACTCCAGCTCGGACATGTACTCGATCCGGAAGCCGTTCACCTCCATGGGTCCGCGGTCCTCGGGCCCACGCGGGGCACTAACATCCACATCGAAGGTGTTCGAGTTGAAGCCGCGTAGCTGGAACGTGATGGGCGATGGGGGCTTCTCGCCCTGCTCCAGGCGTTTTGTCCGCTCGATGCTGCCCAGATGATTGGTGGCCCGGCAGCGATAGTTGTCAAATACACTGACGTTCAGCACATGGACGGTCAACCGCGACCAGTAGTGGTCTCCCTCGATCGTGTAGAGCCGCTCGTTGCTGTGCAGTCGCTTCTGCTTCCGATGCCACGTGAAGGTGGCCGGCGGCTCTGCCTGGGCCTCACACATGATGGACGCCGTCCCGTTGATGTACGCATACTGCATGCTCACGAACTGTTTGTGCGTCCAAAATGGTTTGTCTGTGCGGAATCAATTAATTTAATTAAATTTCACCCACAATTCTGCAGTAAGCAGAACAGAAGCCGAGCTCCGTTGCAACGAGCCTGAGGTCTACGTCTACTGCAGTGGGGATGAGGTCTGCTGACAGCTGACAAGTGACGCTCCCGCTCAAAGGTATGGCAGGAAAATGGAAAAATCATGTGCGCCAACCATAAATCACGGTCTCGCTGCGGGGTTCGAGCTTTTTGGCCAAGTTAAGCCATTAGCTGCATGTGTGCCACGCCCCCACTGACCAGGGCAGACAGACCTCCCAGCGAACATCAGCATTCATCAAAAAGCGGCTCTAAGCGAATGTAATTCCAGCATTTTTCGTGCTCAAAAACTATTTACCGCCCAATGCGCCGCATACAAAGCGCACACACAAATTTTATATCCATCATCCCACAGAAAAGAAATCGCATGACGCTCAAGTAATTCCACTGCAGCCCCCAAAATATTGCACACTGGGACAAGATGGCGGTGAAAATTCGTGGAACATATGAAAGTACAGCTTTCCTTCCGATCTCATGATCGCCTGGTGCTGGTCCCAGAGTGCCATTGGTCTTGTTTGGAAATCATAAATCACACTCACGTTCGATTTTCATCAAAACTGTGCGCTCCTGCATATCGGAAGCAATCGAATTCACTTGGTATGCCCGGCACGTGTACTCGCCGGTGTCACTCTGTGTTACCTTGTTGATGAGCAAACCATCGGCCAGGATGCGATACTTGGAGCCATCTGCCGCTGCAGGGGGAAATGGAAAATGGGCGAAATGAAGGGAGGGAAAATTGAACGTTTGGTATTTGGGGTCGTGTAAAATGCAAAGCTCATTATCGTCGGCCAACTCACTATCCACACTAATGGGCTGCCCATTGAAATGCCAGGTGATATTTGGCTGCGGTTCTCCCTTCACCTCGCACAATATAGTCTTGTCCTTGTCGCCCTCTTTTACGGTTATCACGCTGACGTTCTCCGTGAACGTAATTTTCTCTGTGTTCGGGGCAAGAAAACAATGCAATATTAATGACTGCCCCACCAGTTCCGACTGTGGTCGCCCCTGTGGACGATTCCAGCACTTACGATATACAATCAAATCGAAGGATTTACTATGCAGACGGCCCTCAGCAGCTTCGCAGCTCCAATTGCCCTTGTCCGCCAGTGCGATGTGGGCGAAAACGATTTTCAATTGTTCTGTGTGGCAGAGAAAAAGAGCAGGAGAGTAAAAAAGGACCAAATTGTGTATAGAGTATATGTTGGAAAAAGGTTAAATGGGGCTCGAAAAACAAAGGCCAAAGCCCGAATGCGTAGAGTAAAAAAAAATTGGAATGAATTGCTTAAGAGACGACGAGAGGATACCCATTGCTGATCGAATTTGAATATCTCTTAACTGGAAAGCGCCACTGTCAGATAAGTGAGAATGCTACAAAATGGGTATATAGATCTTGAATACATATTTTGAAGTGGTTTTGAAGGGGATATTTCACTAATTTATTTCGGAATACTTTAGTCCCCTTTTTGTTTCCCACTGGACTTCATGAATTCCCTTTTGGGTTCGAGAATTCAGATGGAAAGAATGTAGTTGGGGAATTGCAATTAATTGCGTTTGTTGTGCTTGTGGCATTGTTTACTCTTGCCCTCCGTCCATCTGGCGCACCTGCCTTTAGTGCTTTGCTCGATTTTATCTATCCAGCACCCCACTTGGGGTTCTGACCCCGATTCTCACCTGGCGATGTTTGCTCAATGTGGATGCGTCCTTTGTGCTCTCGTATAATTTCCCCTTTTGGCGATTTCCAATGCAGCTTTACGTCCGGATCGGGGCTCCGGCACTGCACAATGAGGGACTCGTTTGTGTAGCGCACAACGCTATGCTCCGCCGGACTCAGCGACAGGCTCTCATGGTGATTGCCCAAGACGACAGCTGCAAGAAGAGATACGGAAAGCGACAAAGGTTTAAAGACTGGGTATACTCTAGTTAATAGCTTGTTAATTGCAGTGGATGGGAAGGGTCGGGGTGTCTGCAGCGCGTAAAATGGGAATTGAAAAGTTAAGGCCAAGTTTTTCCGTTGGCAATGGCTGCCATTGCCACTGCAATCGCATTTGCATAACAACGAAAACAGTGCAGCCGTGCGTTTTATTTTCTTAACAACTCAAACAGTTTTTCCTGCCATTACGCTCACACATTTCCTTTGAAAAGAATTGTCAATATTAAGAACAAAGAGAGACAACCCATGATTGCAAGACCATCTTTAAATATGTGCATGTGGATTTTTCTCAAATTTCAAGATACTTTCTATCATATATTATGAGGCAGCTCAGCCGCTTGTGAATATTTTTTAATTTATTCGCCGTGCCATTTATGTCGGGACTCGTTCCGTTCAAAAATGGCTCTTAGCATGCCTCACAGCCTGTTATTCGGGCCACACAGCAAACTGCACTCAACGGATGCAAATTCCTGCCGTGGCCCGTGCTTTCTACTTTCACTTCATGTTTGCGCCTTGGCAAAAATGTTCATTGAAATTTATCACAAGAAACAGCAATTTCATTTTGCCAATTCATGTCAATCTGTGGAGGAAAATGTGGAGGAAAAGGGAAAACGGGCTGCAGTCTGTAGACAGAAAAACAGAAACAGAAGGAGTGGGAATGGGAATGGAAAAGGGGTTGGGAAATCAACCATCTCCAAACTTCGGCTACGACCGGATACCTCTGCAGCCCTGTGGGTATTCTGGTAAAATGTATAGATGCAAAAATTTCTTGCATACTTTTTAATAAAGTTTGTTGCATGCCCCAAAGTGGCAAAGAACGAATAAAACACACAAACTGCGAAACACTCCCCGAGTCGGAGTGAGGGAAACATGATTGCATCGTTCATTTCGTTGGCCAAACTTTTCCATTGCCTTTTTTCTGCTTTGCAAATTTTATTGGCAACAGTATGGACATATTGAAATTATGCAGCTACATACATATATAATGAAATACATATATACCCCATTACATGGAGCCAGCAAAAAGGAGCCACAAGAACCCACAGCATGGCCCAAAGTGAGAACCATCTAAGTGGAATATTATGAACAATGTAGCTAAAGCAAAGGCGAGGGCAATTACGCTCAAACTGCAAGAACTTCATTCATATTAATTAGCAGTTCTGAAGCTTTCTGTATTGAAAAATTGGAAGTCGGGGAAAATATAGGCAAAGTTCGGTAAGATGAAAGTTTTGAAACAATTTGATAGCCTTTTAGTGATTTATAAAATAGAGAAGGGTTAGAAAGTTGTACATACAAGAAGAGGATTGATAGACCCTGACAATCAATAGCAAAAATATCTCGCTCTACGACTCACTCATTGCATTCCACAAGTCTCGTTTTAGTTTTCCCGTATAGTTCAAGTTCACATCTTTCAACATCAGTTGACATACTCGTATACATTAAGCCCTAATGTCTTGATATAACAACACTCTGGTTGTTTCTGAAGCCCAGAAAATAAAGGAAAATCAATGCCGACATCAGCTAAAGTTGCCAAACAATGGGTAAACATTACTTTTTATCGCGCTCTTGGCACTCCTCATACGAGTATGGCACCGCAGATACACCTCTGATACAAGTACACCTATGTGCTATATAGTTATGGGGGCCATACAAATATTTGCATTGTTTGCCTTCACCTGCAGACGCCAGTGCCAGTGTCACTGACTGATGCATCTGTCTCTCTGCCCGTGCTGTCGCTCTGGTTTGGGCTCCTGTTGCTGCTCATTGTCAGCGGATCCGCTATCTGCTGCTGGGGAGGCGACGGCACAACACCCGTCATAAAATTTCATGTACAAACCAAAGTCACGGCACATGCGAGCTTAATGACAGGGCCACAAAAAAACCGAGAGCACGAGGAAGCGAGAGCTGGAGTAAGCTCGAAAATAAATGTAAAGCATTGCCAAATGTGAGAAAAACAAATAGTTAGCGGTAAATGGCATTACCAGGGCCAGCCACAGGAGCAAAATGAAATTATCTGCCTCGCTCTTGGCATTGTTCAGCGGCCTTTATAAATGCATTATGCCAGGTACTCGTGTGCACTGCCAGAGCCAACGAATGTGAGTGGAAAGAAAAATAGCAGGGAAGAACGGAGAATGATTTGGGATTGGGGTGGCGAAGATAGGAATACCCTTAAAAATGTAGTTGTATTATTGCGAAAACGTAGAGTTCAGTTTTACAAAAAATTTCTGTAGAAAGTCTACAGAAAGACAGATCTATGACAAATATACAAATGTTTGCAGGAATGCTTTCTTCTCTTCATTAGTTCCAAAAAAAAAGTATGTATACCCTTTGTAAAGGCACTCAAAAAATCGTATGCAGCTATGGGGTGGTACAAGATGGAGCTGTTGAGCGGTAGCACGTGCAAGCTGCCAAAAAGTGCAACCAAGCATGCAACGCGTGGGCGACGTCCTGTGAACTGACGTGTGATGCCAACTGGTCCAGCCAGGACCCCCTTTAGGGGAGGTGGCAGCGTCAGGACCAAGGGTGCGTTGTCCCCCCTTTAGGTGATGTTGGAGCGTGTTAACCTGGAAATTTCGTTATGTGGAATTCATTATATGTTTCGCATGCGTGCCAGTTTATTTTCATTTGCCAGCTTTATTCTCAACAATGCCCTGTACATACATACATTTCTCGCTTTTAAAATATTTTTAAAATATTTAAACGAATTATGGCTTATTGAGCCATGGCCGCAAATTTTTAACAACAAATGCGGAATATGCGGCATAAAAAACTTTTTGTTTCCTCTCAATAATATGAAAGTCTCAATGAAAATCCGTAGAAATTTTATAATTTTTTGTTGCAGAGTGAAATGCAAAAACTTGTGACATCATTTGACATTTAGTACTGCTGCCCGGTCCCAGCCCCGCCCCGGCCCGGCTAGCAAATCAAGCTCGAATTGTATTCATTTGTTTTTAAATTATTCAGCATGGATTTTAATGAAATTTGGCCATTCTTCAAGGCGAGCTGGCAATTCAATTTCCATTAGTTCGACGGCAAACTTTTTAATTATTTTCCGATGCCTAACGGCGGAGGATGGGGTCGGTACGGCATAAACTTTTTGTTCGTTGGGAAATGCTGCAAGCTTTCCTTTTTGTGCGACAATTTTTGTTTTGCATTTACTCCGGCAAAAAAGTTTGTTATTATTTTTGGATTTTTTCCTTTACTTTGCCAGTGCGCACGCATGCTCTCAACTTCAATAAAAAAGTTTTAATTTTCCAGTTGTAATAGAGAAAGCAATAACCACGCATCCATTCTGAGTGTATTAGCATGTGAACGAGTGTGCATGTGGGTATTTGAGAGCGCATGTGAGTGCATGTATTTGAGTGTGTGAGTGTTTTAATGTCAGCATAAACGCACATGAAGCGCACTTAACCTGAATTATGCGCGGCTTTGCTCAGACACGCACAGAGGAAGTCCCGCTTGTGTCGCATTCTGGTCATAGCTTGTATTTTCCATTCCCCTTCTGGCCACCATTACGTAAGCCACAGGAGGAGGCTACAGTCATGTGAATGAGATACCCAGTACTCAGTCAGGCCTTTTCTTTCTGTTAGGCAAACACACAGTTCTAGATCCTTAGATGTGCTCTTGATGCACGAAGGTGTGCTATGCGCATTTTTCAAAAGCCGTTTGTCGTTGATCCAAGACCTTCAAGCCACCCTCTGACTGTTACATACATGTCCAGAGATTCAATATACCTTTTTACTCCACATGTACTGGATAGAAAAAACGGGGCAAATAAAAATGCTCGACACTCGAGCATGCAAATAATTGCAGCATTTGTATGAGCTTAACCCATTTCTGTCAGTGGATTGTACCTCCTACATCCCCCGCCCGATACCCATTGGCTGTTGGGAGGGTGTAGAAAATTTGCCCGTAAAGTTTGGGAAATGAGGTAAAGTTTTTATCAAAAGCCAGACACAGACGAACTGCCAACAGATCAACATTTTCCATTTTTAATTTCAATTGAAAAACAACCCGTTAACTGCATACCGGAGCAATAACCTGGTTACTGGCTACCTGGTACACATAAAAAGTGCAGTTTTCAGAATTATATTTTATCCACATTCAGATCCAGTGGTTTGACATCTCCAAGTAGGGAATTTATTCGAAACGCACACAAAGGGTCTAAGGAGTGCCCAGAAGCTGCACTGGTACAGAGCACGTAATGCCAAAACATACATAAATCATCACCGCGTCTCCGCATAAGAATATATTTCCGCTATAAAATGGACGTTTCCGCATTTTCGGAGCATCGTCGGTGCAACGTTGGAGCTTGGCACAAAACAGGAAGTCAGCTTCGGTTTTCGGTTCTGGGTTTTTGGATCCTCCTTTTGCAGGAGGTGGCTTTTGTGGCCAGCGGAAATGCAGGTGGGGTTCCCTCGGAATTGCTCCAGTTGCAGGAGCTGCTCGATTTGTGGGTGCTTCGTTATGTCTGTTTCCCAGAGATGCCTTTTTAATAGTTTTGCAGCTGACACAAATTTGGTTGGTACTTGCGCACTCCCAGTTTTTGTTTTAGTTCAGCAATTAATTCTTTTTCCAGCTGCAGTTAGTTCATAAATTTTCCATTATGTGAGTGCGCGCCGGAAAATACATTTATGCGTTTTTAAATGCTTGGCAGCATATAATTCTCTCGGCACTCTCGACTCCCGACTGGCTTTTGAGGAAGCTGCTGCATATAAATTTGCAACTGTCTGGCGATAAGAACTGAAAGAGAAGGAGTCTGACTCCTGGACTGCTGGACTACTGGTCCAGTCCTACTGTTACTCCTACTGCTTGTTCTTTTTCTAGAACTGCCACTGATTCGGTTCTGCCTTCAACTCATTCATCAAAAGTGTGCGCCTTTGACTTTTGAAACAAAAGTTTGACAAACTTTGCATTCTACTTCTGAGGAGGACAC